TTTTTTTTTTTGTTTTTTCTTTTAATCTCCGTGCAACAGCATGTCATCTATTGCGGGAAACGCGGATGGACTCCCCTATGTTGGTTGTGCACTGAGTACTGCTGAGCGTGCGGCGCTGCAGTCTTCACTTCCTTTGCTTGGAGCCAAGTACAATACGCCGGTGCAGTTCTGGGGAAAGATTTTTGGTTATAAAGCGGATTACCTTATTGCCCAGGCAATGCCAGATGGTGTTTTTGGTCAACGTTTCAGCTTCTTCAGTGTAGATGGTGGTACCTCGTGGAAATTGCTTGAGAACATAACGGAGGATCAAGAGAAGTTCTGCAATGAACTGCGTGGTGTTTACATGGGCGACCCGACGTATCTGTATAAAATACGGCGTGATATTCCACCCGAGCCGGAACCGGAGGTGCCAGCGCCTGACGCGGATGCGGTGTTAACGGAGGCGCGAGAAAAGTACGGCGAAGGGGAAGAAAAGGAAGAAGAAGAAGAGGAAGAGGAAGAAGAAGAGAATGAACACGAACAGAATGAAGAAGAGGAGGAGGAGGAGGAAGAAGCAGAGGAGGTTGAGGAGGCACCGGTGCCAAAGAAAAAGCGTCCAAAGTTTATGATTGTGGCCGCTCCTGAGACGGTGCGGTTGGCGCACTTTATTCAACTCCACGATAAAGACTGTGCGTTAATTGTTCGTGGACAGTACGTCTTCACACCGGGCGGTGGGGTTTCAAAGAATGGACTCTTCGCCGGTCAGCCAGTGCGACACGCAATGAAGCCATCGTGTTACTTGCGTGTTCATCACCTCGGCGATGCGACCCGCAATCGTCTCTTGTACGGCCCAACGTACAGTGAAGTGACGGATCGTCTCTCGCCCATCACAGATGATGCGCCGGCGGGTGTGTGGGTTGTGAAGTATGATCCCACCGCGAGTATCGTGACTGTGCAGAATTTATTCTACGCGGGATCACTCTTCTGGTATCGCCCCGGCACGACGGACTGTGGGCAGGTGTACTGTGGGAACGGTGAACGGGATGTAGAGGTGTGTTTTCTCTTGTAGACTGTTACTGTGACTGACTGACTGTGTGTGTGTGAGTGAGTGAGTGAGTGAGTGGTGGTGAAAGGGTGAGGGGATGTAGTGTAGATGGACAAGGTTTAGGTGAAGAGAATGGAGTTTCTCCCTGTTTCTCTCACTTTTTTTCTTTTTCCTAGTTATATTTATTTCTCCCTATTTATATATATAAATGAAAGAAAGATGGATAGAGAGAGAAAGAGAGAGAGAAAGGGATATTTGTGAGCATTTCTGTCGTGTGTATCCCTTTTTCTTGTTTTTTTTTTTTCATTTATTTACTTGTTGTTCTTCTGTGTTTAGATGTGGATAGAGGGCACACACAGACACACAGACTCCACTACTCCTAATGCCCCTTCTTCTCACTTTTCTGCTATACCTACTATTGGATGTATGATGCAATCAACACATGACTTATTATGGATGTAGTTTTCTTGACTGAAGCGAAAAGCAAAAAGAAAAAGAAACATTATAGTTGTAACCGTTCTATGCGGTTTATCTGAAATGGCAGATTTGCCGTTTTCTTTTTTTTTTGTAGTTATATATATACATATATATATATTTATCTGTAGTAAACTAGTTTCTTTCCTCATGGCATCATTTCTTTTTTTTTTTCTTCTTTTTTTTTTTATTTTTTACGGATTATATTTATGTTCTTTTTACTTTGAACCCATATTCTGTAGGCGGGACACCAAGAAGAAAGGAAAGGAAGACAAAACCAAATAATAAAAAACAAAAAATAGAAGGGGGGAAAAGAAAAAAAAAAAAAAATAAAAGAAAAAACAAACAAAGCCCAAGAGCAACATTGAACCTCATAAGGATACTAAACTATATTACCTATATACGTGCACACCACAGTTGTGCAGGCTTCTTGCTCTTTTTTCCAGTTACATAAAGAAAGGACTGTACCCCACTAATAATAATTCTCTTAATAATAATAACAGTAATAAACGCAAACAAATTAAAAGTAAAAAAAAAAAAAAAAACAATAGGGCACAGCCGTAGTAGCTGAACGCAGTTATCCAGGTGAGGATTAAAAAAAAAAAGAAAAAAAAAAAAGGCGCGTTAAGGAGTGGAGGGATTATATTTCACATTCCCATAAAAAAGCTGAAGAACCAATAACCACTCTTCCTCACTCGTTACTGGCATCACACAAACACATACTTCAGTTTTTTTCTTTTTTTTTGTTGTTGTCTTTTTATTATATACTTCTCGTAAAAGAGAAAAAAAAAAGAAAAAGACGTACCGGAGAGTGAAGGCATTGATACAAGAAACGTGAAATTACGAAGAGGCATCAAATAAAAAATAAAATAAAAAAGGAGAGAGACAACGCTAAATTCTGAGTAGTACAGTGCTTTTATTTTTCTTAGGTTTTTTTTTTCTTTTTTCTTTGGTTTCTTGTTTTTTTTTTTTTTTTTCGTGGGCGTTTGCTTATTTAACCACTTGGCTGTACACAAAGGAAGAATAAATAATAATAATAATTGTAATCATCATAAGAAACAGAAGAAAAACAAACAAAAAAAAAAAAAAAACGGCAGTGTTGAAGACTGTAGGGGAGAGAAAGAAGAAGAGATCGAATAGCTGCAGGTCCAGCGACGGCTGAGAGAGAAGAAAAGAAAAGAAAAGAAAGAAAAAAAAGAAAAGAAAAAAGAGTATATTTGTGCGCAGTAGTCCAAGTGGTGTGTGATCCATCCTCACACAGTTTTGTTTAAATACACACATACAAACGCAAAGAAGCAGAAAAAAAAAAAAAAGTAAAAGAAAACAGAAGAAGAAGAAGAAAAAAAAAAGAATTAGGCAAAGCACAACGAAGAATAAAGAAAAAGAAAAAAAAAAAAACAAAGCAAAAAACGAAGGAAGGAGAGAAAGAAGAAAGTCAAGATAAATCGAAGAAAAAGAAAAGAAGAAGTCAAGATATACAGGAAAGAGGAAATTACAAAGAATATATCAAATCATCGCAAATTTATTATTATTATTATTATTATTATTATTATTATTACTATTAAAAAAGTTGAGAAGTATACATAAGTAAAAAAAAAAAAAGAAAACAAACAAGTTGACATAAGAGGAAGGTGTACGCATATACACACCTTTACCCCCTCACAAATACGGAGATATTGAGCAACGTGCAATAGAAAAGAGAGAGAAAAAGAAAATTACGAAAAGAAAAGAAAAAAAAAGAGTACAAAGAATTGAAAATTAACCAAATCAAGCTAAACCAAAACAAAGAAAATAAAAAATAAAACAGTAGTCGTTTATCATTTTGCTGTTCGTCTATTATTATTATTATTATTATTATTATTATTATTATTATTATTATTATTAAAAACTAATAGTTGTGTGGATGATGACTGAAAAGATAATCTCTGGGGACGGATCTGAGGCGTTAGTGATGTCTTCGCATCCTATGCCAAAGATCACCAAGACGTCTTCTGCAGAGAGAACCTTTTATAAAGATGCATTGTTGCCGTATTCATTACAGTGCATTCATCCACGTTTGCGTAATGATGTGGAAGTTAATGATCGTGCCACACTTCTCCATGGAGCTGAGTTGCTGTTAGACTTTGGTACCCCAGAAGAGGTTACCCGTCGCCTTGCTTCCACACAGCAGCAGCAGCAGAAACAACAAGATAAGGTTCCATCGATGAGTTCGTGTAGTAGTGCTGATAATATTCTATCGCTTGCTTCTTCTGCCTGTGCTTCTCCAAGCAAAGTGCATTTAACTTTTCACGACGCTGTTGAGGAATTACAACATCGCTGTGATTATTTTCTTTCTACCTTTACGGATGGTGTGGAGTCCTATCATATTCCCTATGAGGTGCAGCGCCGCATTGTACCGATGCTGTACGCTTGGCTTGTAGACTGGGACTTCCTTCAGCGTGCGACGAACTGCTGGGGGCGAGTTGCGATATGTTTCTGTCGAGTTATTCAATCACGTAGACGTCGTTTTACTGTTCGTCCTGATTTTTCACTTCCATGGAAACCACTTGTGGTGATTCTCTTTTCTTTGTTTTTTCAATCCGATCGTGTGATGGATCTTCACGTCTTTCATGGGATGCGAGAGGCGGCTGGACAACAATTGGAGTCTGTTTGTGAATCTGCCGCTTTGCACTTTGATGAGGATGCGTGGACGGGTTTATGGGAGACTTTTGCCCCGTATTTCTCACCAGAGCATGAGGAGGCACCTTTAATGTTATGTCTATTCTCGCATCTTATTCCTATTCATCATCTTGTGGATAAAGAAAGTGGATCACCACTACCAATGACAGAACGTGTGGTTCGTTTTCTCCTTTCAGATGCACTTTATTGGCAACAGGGAAGATCAGGAAATTGGATGGCCTATTCTCTTAAGATTGTGTTTGAGATTGTTCTTCATCATGTGGGTGTGATGGATTTTGATAAGTATGCGGAACCGCTCTTTTCCATGATGTTGTATGAATTACGTTTACCTATCGCAGATGGTACAGGATCATTACAATCCCATTTGGGATTTGGTGTACTTAGTAAAATATCATTCTTTCACATTGATGAACAGGAAATGGCAGCAGCAGAGGGATTTGTAGCGGATATGCTTCCACGTAATACAGATTCACCATTATGGAATCATTTACGTCGTTTTATTCTCGCTACAAGTGTTTTTATTCGTCCTAATGCGACTGATAAATTTATCCTTTGTCGTGTTTTTCGTTTTTATAGTAGTCTTGTGGCTGCTGTCCATAGACGAATGAAAATCCAATCAAGTCAAGAATATGCTCGTATGAGAAGAAAAGGAAGAAGAGGAGGAGAAAGAAGAAGTAAACCTTTTGAAGGACGTTCTATTCCAGAGGCTTATATTTGGAATCAGGAAACGGTGGATTGCTTTGTGAATCTCGTCGCTCCAGTTTTACTTTCATCATTACATCATCGATTAAGAGATGCCACCCGTACAATTGGTTTACTTGCCTCACTTTCACCTAAACTCGTACTTCCACTCATTCTCCCTTATGTGGATGCCGGTCTACGAAATAGAACAGAATCACCAGAGCAGCGTTCGGTAGCCTTACGTTTATTAGTAAAATCACTTTACCCTCTTAGTGAATGTCGTTCCACCCGTGATGATTGTTGGAGTTTTCTTGCTGATGTATTACCATTACTAGTTCCTTGGATTAATCCAAATGATGTATCACTTCTTATGGTAGTTCTCGATCTCATTTTTACCACGTGTTCCATCACAAGTCTTCATAAACTTTTAGGAGGACAAGAAGCGGAATGTAGTTTTGCGGTTACACTTGTCGAACGAATATTTGAAATTTCTAGTCATGCCATGTTTTCTAAACCACAGGATTTGGGTCATCTTGTGCAAGTAATGACGGCATTATGTCAGAATGTTAGTGAAGAAACATTTAGTTGTTGTGTTACGAAGGCCATTAAAGAATCTCAAGTACGAGATGTATTATCAAAAGCGTCTGTTTTGAGTTATCTACTAGAACCTATTGCACATCGTGCACCTGAACGTATTATGCGTTGGGCTTTACAATACCTTATACCACCACTACAGAATACATTAACTCCAGAGAGTGAGGTTCAATGGTGTATACATTTACTCGCGGGATGTGTTCGTGGTGCTGGTCTTGCAGGTTTTTCCTATCGACATGAAATATTACGTTGTTTACAATTCCAGTTAATTCATATTACAGAAATGAAACGTATTATAGGGATTGGTACACTTTATTCTGCCATGTTTGCGGCTTATACAGAAACTGTATGTATTGAAGCACAGGCGGTGCCTATATGTAGATCAGGTGAAGTAGATCGTGAGAATAATAATAATAATAATAATAATAATAATAATAATAATAATGATATTGATGATGATGATGTTTGTAATGACTCGGATGAATCGGAATATGATGAGTTACAAGATGAGTATGAAGTTAGTATGGGATTTTGTCGTAGTAATAGTGTGGAAATGACATGGCGAGAGGCATCAGAAGAACATATTGATTATATAATAGAAGTATATTATAATTTTGTTCAAGATATTGTTGATGTTATTCATGGTATTACCGATATCGTTCCACCTGCTGCAGGATGTGGTAGTAAAGGTATTCGTCACTTTCTTTGCAGTAATAATAATAATAATAATAATAATAATAATAATAATAATAATAGTCATAATAACAATCGCAGTAGCAGTGTGAATAGCCATACGGAGTCTAATCATAATAATAATAATAACGAAAAGAAGAGTGAAAGTAGTGAACAACAGGATAGACTAGAATCTGATAATCATAAGGGTAATGATAGTGATGATGATGATGAGCATACCTTTAACCCACAAAGTATTCTACGTGGGGTATTACTATGGTTGCGTATAGTTCTTGAAATTAACCAAGAATTACGGGCGGGTAACAAGAGAGAAGATACTTCTAATATCATCCCATGGTGGATACAAAATCCAAAGACAACATGGTCGTGGAAACCATCATCATCTTCTTCTTCTTCTTCCTCGTTATCTGCATTACCAACAAAGACATTGTTAACATGGTCGCAGGATGCAATACATGATATGTTACTTGATCATGTCCTTCGACGTGTGGTGGGAGATGTAGCGGATGAAAAAGTGATTGCGGTAGCATTACAATTAAAAGAGAGTTTATTAATGCGAGGGAAACCACCACTTAATAATAATAATAATAATAATAATAATAATAATAATAATAATAATAATAATATTAATACACAACAGGAAGTACATCTTGATGGAAGAAGTCTTCACTCTCTACTGGCTATTCTCGCAGAGCAATGTAATATCAGTGTTGGTGCCCCATTACGTTACGATCACAGTCGTCTCTATACACAAGGTCTTGATATATTTGCCTCTAATGCTGTTGAAACCCTAAAAGGTCGTTATTATTTCCCTGTTATGTATTGGCGAATGAAGGCGGAATCTTTTATTGCTTCTAGACGTGTAATTCCTTTATATAGTGTTTCTCCCAAACGTCTTATCGAGTTAATCTCGGTCACCCACACATTACTTTTCTCACCCTATCACATGATTCAGTCTGATTGTTATCAAATATTAACAGAATGCATGACGTTCATGGGCCGTGAGGCAACACGCAGTTTTATTAAACGGCACCTTATGTTGCTTGAACGAATTGCAGAGCTTTGGAAGGATCGGCACACAATAGATGATCAAGATAAAACTCATCATCATCATCATAATCTTCTTTCTACAGCTGCTGGTGATGGTAGTAATAATAATAATAATAATAATAATAATAATAATAATAATAATAATAATAATAATGCTTCTATGGAGGATGATACTGCCGATGCACTTTCTTCTGCTAACGGACATGATGATACAAAGACAGATGTTACTGCCCAAACCAAGTCTACTAGTCAAGAGAACACCAATAATAATAGTAATAGTAATGTTAACTGTGGTATAAATGAAGAAGAAGAAGAGGATGATGATGAAGAAGAATACGTTGTGGATGGCTATGATGGTTATGATGATAATAATAATAATAATGATCGAAGAACGCATGATGTTTTATCGGGAAAAGAAGGATTGAACGATTCTCCTTCTATATTAAAAAATGAATTAGCTAGTGCGTTATCTCTTGCTTATTCGGGATTTAACAGCCCACACTTTTACTACGATAGTGAATTAATTCTTAATACCTATGAAGTTTTAATGCACTTCCCAGAGCAACTTCGGTCAAAACGTTTAGGAATTTTCAAAAATGTCCAAAAAGCCGCCTGTATTGGTGGAAACTCACGAATGGAAGATAAAAGTGTAGTGAAACTCTCTGATGAACTTCTTTCATTGGCTGTAAAGTTTTCACATTCCGCACCTGAACGATCTCTTAATTGTCTTTTTATGATTGTTGCCCTTTACAGACCCTCACAGGTATCACTTCTCTCTCTACAGAGTGTATCGACACTTTTTCGTCTCTCTGTGAATAGTCATGCCAAACTTCGGGCAACATCTTTTCATATTTTACAAACACTTCTTCTTTCCTTAAAGGAATCACATGAAAAACGATATGTGTTAATGAGACCTGCACCTATGGAAGCAAAAGAAAATATTACTTTCTTTAGAAATCGTTATGAAATATTAATGCAGAAATGTCCATCTTTTTATGGATTATGTGAAGTAGGTCTTATCTTTCCTCCTAAAGCCATACGTGTGGATGCGGAATATGTTACATCTAATATGTTTAATGATGGAGAGTCCATCACTATAGCTTGTGAGAATATAGTACTTCGTAAAGATTACACGGAAAAAAGAAGGACAATAGTAGTATCTAATGAAATGCAAGAAGATCAAAAGTGTTATCCAACACGGGAAGAATTTAAAGCATTGATTGGTCACTTGTCTGGTATTCTAGATGAAAAGATTAATCCACCCGTTGATGGAAGAGAAGGAGGAGAAGAAGAAAAAGAAAAAGAAGATAAGGAATCTTTATTGGAAGGTAAATTAAGAGAAGGATGGGTATGGACAGTAATGCAATTACGTCATGATCAAAAGACTTTTTCACAGTCTCGAATGCGAGTTTGGAAAACGTTTGGAAATCTCCTTGGTGTGGAACCCACAGTTCGTATGTTTACACGTATAGTAAGAGTAGGACTTCGTGATTATATTAATCTTGCCTCAAGTGATAATACCTCTGCGAAGGAAAGTCAACAATGGTTATTTTCTTGTTTTTCAGATTTCTTAATTGCGGCTATTCGTATATCTAAACGTCATCCTAGTGTACGAAAAGAGGCTTTATTATGTTATATAGAAACTATAATGATAATATGTACAAAAAGTGTTATCCCACATGCTGTTCTCGCCCCATTCCTACAAAGTGTTTCAGCTTTACATGGAACTTTAAAACAAGAGGAAGTTTGGTTACTTTACGTTGCTCTTTTTGAGGCTTTGGAGCCACCAAGTGAAAAGGTTATGCCGAACGCTACTCCTGTTTGTACAGAGAGTGGAGATACTATTAACACAACAGCAACAACAACAACAACAACAACAACAACAGGTACTAGTACTTCTCCATGGTGGTGTGGAAGAACACAAGAGTTTGTTCGAATATTATCTGTTACTGTGCAATTACTCTTTGTATTTGCCTCGGATGTAAACATTGAATTACTTCCACGTTTATGTAAACATGTAATAGCCAATAAAGATTTATTTCTCTATACCACTTCTACACGTATTCGAATGTACTCCTCCAGTGTTATTCGTCAAATTATGCGTCTTTGTTTAAATCAAAGTGAATATATTCCATCTAATGTTTCTGTACAAAATAGTATTGTAACGTTTATGGACCGAATTGAGCAGATTGTGGAATTACCACCATTACCAGCAGCAGAACCCGCGCCATCGTTGGCGCCATGGAGTGAGACACCGGCACTTGGGGCAGCGCCAAACCCGTTTATGACGGTAACGAATGCAAGTAGTAGTAGTATGATGATGAATAATAATAATAATAATAATAATAATAATAATAATAATAATAATAATAATAATAATCATCATAATAGTAATAGTAATAATATTAATAGTAGTACAACGGCGGCTACTACTACTACTACTACTACAACTACAACAACTTCTACTAGTACGACTACTACTGCTACTGGTGTTGCGGATGTTCCTCTTGCGGTTTCACCGCCTGTAGAGATGTCCCCACCGTTGACCTCTACATCTTGTCTGTTATGCTCAGATGCGTTTAGTTTAGATGGTACTCGTGCTTTGTCGCCTTCCATGACTCTATCTGCTGTGAAGACTATTGCTATGTATTGGCTTCAACCACCACCGCCTCTTATTGCTTTGCGGATTAATAGTGTAACTTCACTTCTTGCAAGATCTCTTGATATTCTTTCTTCTGAAGTGGATGATCTTGAAACGGTACGATTGACACTTGATAGTATTGCCTATATTCGACAACCAAAGGAAACCATTCATGGTATTGTTGGGCTTTTGTGTGAAATACTTGAAGAGAAAAAACCATATGGACGATCTAAACAGGCAAAAGTAATTCTTTGTCGAATGCTTCGTCTTATTTTATTTATTAACTTACATCGTATTGGACGATATGCGATTATGCAAGATGTATTACGAGCAGCTCTTCAGTCCATTGCCCACGGAGATGGGCGAACACGCAGTGAAGGGAAACTCCTCCTCGCTGTTCTCACACGAGTGGCCTCTGAAGAGCAAACGAAGGCACTCATTCAAGGCTGCTGTGCACAACTGCGGGAACTCACCAACGCGACGGGGAGTGGTGGAAACAACAACACCTCCACCACCACCACAACAACAATGAACAATACAACCACAACGAATACGAATACCACTGCTGTCTGCAGTAATAATCATAATACTAATAATACTAATACTAATAGTGATAATAATAATAATAATAATAATAATAGTAACAGTATTCATGCAGCCTCACATTCTCTGCAGGAGCCTGTGCGTAAGCGTAAACGCATTGCGCTGCTCCTCGCGCTGTGCTCCATTCTCTCCGCGACGCCCGGTGTTGTGCCGCCGTACGTCCCGCGGCTGATGGAGCGACTCGCCGCCCACGCGAACGACGCCGCGCCGGAAGTGCGACGGGCGATCAAACGCGCCTTCGAGGACTGGTGGCGCTCCCACCGCGATGGGTGGGAACTGGAGCACCGGCAGCACTTCACACCCGCGCAGATTGAAGTAATGCTCCCGCTACTCACCGCACCTGTGTATCTTGTTTGAGTAGATTAGAGGGTGGGATGATGGAGAGGGAATAAATGAATGAATGGAATTTTTCTCAGCGGTAGTTTAATGGAGAGTGGTGGTTTTTTTTTTTCTTTTTGTTTTGTTTTGTTTTCGTTTTAATTTCTTTTTTTTTTTTTTCTTCTTTTTTTTTTAATTATTTTTGTTTTTGTTTTTGTTTTTTCTTTGATTGTTCTCTCGTTATTTGCTGATTTGTGTTTTCTTTGGATTTGCTTTCTGCTTCTCTACGTCTCTTTCTCTGTGTATATGTGTGTGCAAATGCAGATATATACATATATATATATA